GGTTTTATTTTTCAGTATTACTTTGGCTATTTGGGGTCTTTTGTGGTTCCATACAAATTTTTGGATAGTTTGTTCTAGTTTTGAGAAGTATGCTGTGCAATTTTGATTGGAATTGCATTGAATGTGTAGAGTGCTTTGGATAGTAATGACATCTTAACTATATTTATTCTTCCTATCCATGAGCATGGAATGTTTTTCCATTTCTTTGTGTCTTCTTCAATTTCCTTCATAAGTTTTCTATAGTTTTCCTCATACAGATCTCTTATATCCTTGGTTAGGTTTATTCCGAGGTATTTTATGGTTTTTTGTGCAATTGTGAATGGGATCAGTTTCTTGATTTCTCTTTCTGTTGCTTCATTGTTGGTGTATAAAAATGCAACCGATTTCTGTACATTGATTTTGTACCCTGCAACTTGGCAGAATTGGCAAAGAGGAAGTCAAACTTTCACTCTTTGCAGATGACATGATACTCTACATAGAAAACCCAACAGACTCCACCAGAAGCCTACTAGAAAAGATAACAATCAATCTGTCCGTAAATTATATCTATAGGCTCTTTCTTTAGTGGAAGGTGGGAAAGAGGCCCTTTATTGAGCACATGGATACAAGTATCGTTGTGTCTAAAGATTGCTGGATTGATATTGTGTCTGTTACAATGAAAATAAGGTGTACATCAAAACCACTGCCAGATTAAGAAACTTCGACAACTTGTCTCAATTCTTTGACTAATGGAGCAAGTTCCTACTCTAGGCTAACAATGAGTCCTGTATTGACATTGCTGCTGGCAATGAAACTCACTACCAAAGGTAAACGATTGTACTGAACCACCTGGTAGGTGTTATAGTAACAGATGATACTTTTATTTTTTGAGAGTCCAAGTTTGCTTCCTTGTTCTGTTGCCAGGGCAAAAGTAGGTAAAAAACCAGATCTCAAAGCGTGTTCTGGAGCATTAACATTGGCCATGTTAATAACAGGCACTCCATCTCTATCTGACATAGCGATAGCCTGGAGCCCTTCAACACTTGGTAATTTTGTGTACAGGAATCGCTTCAGGTCATCCACTATGATGAACCCCTTTCTCCCACAGGATCAATCTCCACTCCCGGTTTTCTGGGTGGCTGTGTTCTCAGCTGCAAATTCAGGGAAAGCTTCAAAAACAGTCTCCTGGGAAGATATTTTTAAGATGGGAACGATTAGATCCAATGTAAAAGCTGAAGATTATAATTTAGAGTATTTTATTTTATTTTTTAAAGTTTATTTATTTTGAGAGAGAGTGGGAGAGAGAGAGGGAGAGTGAGTGGGAGGGGCAGAGAGAGAGGGAGAGAGAGAATCCCAGGCAGGCTCCATGCTGTCAGTACAGAGCACAGTGTGGAGCTTGATTCCATAAACTGTGAGATCATGACCTGAACTGAGATCAAGAGTCAGACGCCTAACCAACTGAGCCACCCAGGAGTCCCTAGAATATCATTTTAAAAAATTAATCTTAATTGTTTAGAAAACTCATTGAAATATACTCTTGAAATGGGTTCATTTTATTGCATGCTAATTATTCCTCAATAAAGCTGATTAAAAAGGACTGTAGACAACGTACACCAGAATGTATTATATATCACAATGTAGCAAATGAAAACCACCACCATTGTGCTTTTTAATGTATATTGTATGGTTTATGCAGACTGTGGACCAGAGCTCTGCATATATTTAAAATTCTTATGGAAGTCTCACTGATTTGCCGGGCTGGGATGTTACACTAATATTTAGAAACAATTTAGGCCAGCACTCATCTACTTGTCTAAAATTGTGCAAATGAATAAATTCATGTAACACATGTGCAGGCCATTCTCAAGTACAGATTGGGTGAGGCGTAGTCTTTGCTTAATAGATCAGCTGGGTAGAACAGCAGAACATAAAACATGCTGAGTGTGACAGTATAATGTCATAGATCATTTCCATATTTAAGTTTTTGTTACAGTTCTGACTTTGGTAAGCAGAATGGCTTCCATATAGCAATGTGGGGCTCACAATATGGCTTTGCCTCCAGGAACAGCTAAAGCTTCATTAAAGAAACGGAAAGGTTAAATTTGTACTCAACATTCAGTACAAAATAGGTAGTTTTGAAGTGTCTTGTGAATAGCCTCCAGAACAGAAACTGAGATTTCTAATTGTTAAAAATGTTGAATGTTTCAAGATATATTTGAAAAGTGTTCTGGTTTTGCAAAACAAGAAAGATTTAAATTGGCTGAAGAGAGCGTTCATCAAATCCCTCCTAAGGTAACACTTAATAATTAAGGACTATGAATAACTGTTAGTGATCCATCGTCAGACCAAACATTCCTGCTATCCCTCGAGCTCTGAGTCTGTTCCATTATGCTGAGATTGGAAGGTCAGCTATCAGAACTCTTATGTATGCAACTTTTTTATGCATGTTAAATGAGCTCTGGTAGCTGTGGGTTTTGTCTACCTAGCCCACTTTCCTTTCACTTCTTGTTCTGCTAACAGAAACTCTCTTCCCTGTGAGAAACCCATTCTTCATGCATGGGAGAGGCTGACCTCATATCCTAGCTCACCACCAATATGGCAACATGACCCTAACCTGGCCAATAAGAGTTCCCCGTTTCCCTTACCTATAGTTATCCCTTCTGAAAAGGGCGTGTGACCCAAGACTGCCTGATCAGGGTCTGTCCTCACATTTTCTCCAGAACTTTGTTTTTCACTAGGATCATGAGCTTTAACTATAGTGTAAGCCTAGAGCTACTGGGACCATGTTTCCCTCTAGTGCATGGAGGCTCTCTGATAATAAAGCCTACCTGAGGCAGAGAAGGGCTAAGAGGTGGAGAGACTGCCACAGCCAAGTCTCCTAAAGCCCTTGACTCTTCCTTAGATGAGCTGCAAGAAATTCTCCCCTCCACTTTTATCCCCTTTGATCTAAGTTGAATGGAGTTTTTCTCATTTGCCACATAAAGATCACTGACAAATTGTAATTTCCTGATTGTGGAAATCAGGATCTGGCACCTGTGTAGCACTAACAACAACAACAGCAACAATACAAAGAAAAAAATTAGATACTGAAGCTAATATGGGACAGAAATTATGCAAAATTATGCATTATTCCCCAGTATTACTTGTTGGATCCATCAGAGAACCTCAATCAAAATCGCTGACAAATAACTTGAAACTAAAAAGATATAGTTATATGGAAAATACTGCCGTATCTCCTCATTTTCTGCATTAGGGTTTTGGATAAAAATTTCATCTGACAAAAGTGTTGTGTGCTAACACTTATTTGCAAATGACCATGTTGGACGATCTCTCACAGCTCACTAGTCTTGACATTTTGAGAGTCAAATATCCTTCTGAATGGAAAAAAGAAAAATGAAGAAAAATATGGAGAGGGAAAAGTTAGTCTTCTTTATTATTTTTTTTTATTTATTATTTTTTTTCCCTTGGTTAACCAGACTGTGCTGGCCGTCAGCTGGGCTGTGAAGCCAGGAAGAGGTACATGCAGGAGAAGACTTGGATTCACTGGAGCCCAAGGCGGGGATGGATCCCTCAGGAAAAAGGCCAGAATAGCTCTTGAAAGGCTAAATGGAGATTATTGAGATCCTCCTATTTATGTGACTTCTTACCCAAGTTGCTCAATGAACCTACTCACCAAGAGTTCTTTGGTTAAGGACAGTCATGCTCATTCATTCAGTACTAGTTTTCTTTCTGTTTTTAAATGATAAAGAGAAAGGAACTGGCTTTCCCTCATTAGCAATAGCGGGGTATTTCTGAAACCTTCCTTTATTGGCTCTATTTAAATCCCAGGAGACCTTTTTGCTGTCCCTTCCATTTGCTCTTTCTCCGAGACGAGTTGGTTTCCCGATGCCAGTTAGCTCTGAGGTAGAATGAGCCATAGAAATGCAGGCAGGAATGGCGTGTTGAGCGGGACGTGTGGCAACCCCCCACCTCGCCCTGGAAAGCTGACATCTGACTGCTCTGAATAACAGAAGTAATGGCCATTTGCAGATCTCCGGCCACGTGCCAGGCACTACTCAGGCTCCCAATCTCATTGGTTCCTCACAAGAAGCTATGAGGTAAAGATGACTATTATCCATGACCTCTCTAGGCTAAATTAGTCTCTCCCATACCCTCGTAAAATGTATAATGTTCTCTAATTTTCACTCGGAGAAACATACCTCAATGTGGAATTCTATATGTCTCCCCCATGGGAATGTCAACAAAGTCGGGAACTCTGTCAATTATGGATGCCCAGACCTAACACAATGCCTGACATGTAGCAGGCACTTCAAAACATTTGCTGAATAAATGAATCCTCATCCACTATGGAGAAATTAAAGCTCGGAGAGGTGAAGTATTTTGCTGCAGATCATACATCTAGCAAGCCATGCAGCCCGTATTGGGACCTGTGTTCTTATCGCTTTGCCTCTCGGAAGGGAAGCCTGCTGGGGTGCCTGGGCGGCTCAGTTGGTTAAGCATCCAAGTTCTGCTCAGGTCAAGATCTCACGGTCTGTGAGTTTGAGCCCCACATTGGGCTCTGTACTAACAGCTCAGAGCCTGGAGCCTGCTTCAGATTCTGTGTCTCCCTCTCTCTCTGCCCGCCTCCCCCCCCGTGTTCTGTCTCTCTCTCTCTCTCTCTCAAAAATAAATAATAAACATTAATAAAAATTTTAAAAAAAAGAAAGAGGGAAGGGAAGCCTGCTTTCTAGGCTTCCTGTGTGATGCCTGCTCTAGGCAGGGAAGCAACTTGCCTGGTGTAGCTTAGCAGCACTGTCGTGTTATTTGAGTAACCAGGGTGAGAATCCTGTACCAGCTGATGAGAACCTGTAGCACTGGAGGGGAAAGACTAGACTGGCATCGTTGTGAAAGAGATGAAGTTGGCTTTCAATACTCATGCATGGCTGTACACATTCAATGCAATCCCAGTCAAAATTGCACCAGCATACTTATCAAAACTAGAACAAACTATTCTAAAATTTGTATGGAACCACAAAAGACCCCGAATAGCCAAAGTAATACTGGAGACTAAAACCAAAACGGGATGTATCACCTACCCAGACTTTAGCCTCTACTACAAAGCTGTCATCCTCAAGACAGTATGGTGTTGGCACAAAAACAGACACATAGACCAATGGAACAGAATTGAGAACTCAGAGCTGGACCTTAAGGTATACAGCCAACTAATCTTTGACAAAGCAGGAAAGAATATCCAATGGAAAAAAGACAGCCTCTTTAAGAGATGGTGTTGGGAGAACTGGACAGCACCATGCAGAAGAATGAAACTAGATCATTTTCTCACACCATTCACAAAAATTAACTCAAAATGGATAAAGGACTTGAATGTGAGACAGGAAACTATCAATACCCTAGAGGAGAAAGCAGGAAACAACCTCCTTGACCTCGACCTCAGCAACTTCTTACTTGACACATCCCCAAAAGCAAGGGAATCAAGAGCAAAAATAAATGATTGGGACCTCATTAAGATCAAAAGTTTCTGCACGGCAAAGGAAACAATTCACAAAACTAATAGGCAACCAACGGAATGGGAAAAGATAGTTGCAAATGACATATCAGATAAAGGGTTAATATCCAAAATCTATAAGGAACTCACCAAACTCCACACCCGAAAAACAAACAACCCAGTGAAGAAATGTGCAGAAGATATGAACAGACACTTCTCCAAAGAGGACATCCAGATGGCCAACAGACACATGAAACGATGCTCAGCATCCCTCCTCATCAGGGAAATACAAATCAAAACCACATTGAGATACCACCTCATGCCAGTCAGAGTGGCTAAAAATGAGCAAATCAGAAGACTCTAGATGCTGGCGAGGATGTGGAGAAACGGGCACCCTCCTACACTGTTGGTGGGAATGTAAACTGGTGCAGCCCCTCTGGAAAAGTGTGGAGGTTCCTCAAAAAATTAACAATAGAACTCCCCTATACCCAGCAATAGCACTGCTAGGAATTTACCCAAGAGATACAGGAGTGCTGATGCATAGGAGCACATGTACCCCAATGTTCATAGCAGCACTCTCAACAATAGTCAAAACATGGAAAGAGCCTAAGTGTCCATCAACGGACGATTAGATCAAGAAGATGTGGTTTATCTGTACA